TTGATGAATGTTTGGGTACAGGTGGCAACTGTCACATGGCCTGGCTGCGGGCTTGGGACGGAAGCCAGTTAGGCGGGCTGTCAGGCACATCTACTGATTGCATTAAGGAAGTGGAATAGAGCAGGAGCCCAGGGAAACCTGTGCCTTGGCAGAAGATACTGGGGAGAGAGGGCTGATTTTCAAAGGACTTTCAAGGCCTGTGGCGCTTCATGGAGCTAGGGTCCAGGGCAGGGAGGGCTATGCCCCTGGTTTGGATGACTGGCTGGAATAGACAGATGGAAGAGGGGGTGAGGGGCTCACTGGGTGGACACCTAAGTGAGGGGGTCATGGGTGGCCAGGAGCTGAGACTCCCAAGACCAGGACCTAATGGGTCAGGCCTGTGGTTCCTATATGCCATGGAGAAGTGTCTCCTCAGCCTCAATTTTGTATCTGTGAAATCATCCCCTCTCAAATAAATGCATAATTATTACAATTTAAAATGTTCATCTATGCTGAAATATTTATGGATGAAATATCATAATGTCTGGAATTTACTTTAAAATAACCTGGGAGCAGGGGAGGGTTTATATGGAGGTAGATAAAATCAGACCCAGCCTCTGGGCTAGCCGGTTAGCTCAGCTGGTTACAGTGCAGCCTTATAGTCCCAAGATCACAGGATCGGATCCCTGCACCAACCAGCCACCAAAACAAAACAAAAATAAATAAAATCAACCTCTAGTGGTTAACTGTTAAAGGCAGGTGATGGGTACATACAAATTTCTTTTATTCTCTTCTCTCTACCATTAGGTATATTTGAAAATTTCTATATTTAAGCTTTAAAAGTAATCTAGGTAAAGTCCTTGTTAAAAAGAAAAAAATGACTGCCCCACTACCAGCACTTTTTGGACAACACTGTAATATCACAATCCAAGCTCATTTCATTCCACAGTTTTTATTTCCTTCTTTTTAAAAACATTTTTAATTGTGATAAAATACACATAACATAAAACTTATCATCTTAACCACCTTTAAGTGTGCAGCTGAGTGTTGTTAAGCACATTCACGTTGTGCAGCCCCCTCCAGAACTCTTTTCATTTTGCCGTGATACAGTTTTGCAGTGATTTCCCCAGGCTTCTCCCACCTGCCCCCGATGCCCCAACTCCCCACCCCTGGCCAAAAATAATTGCAGCTGAGTTCCAGAGCAAGGAACCCTGTTAGCAGCCAGAGTAGCAGCTCGCCCTGGACTTGACGACTATGGGGCTGGTCCAGGTTTGTGGTGACCAGCTGAGCTTTTTGGACTTCTGGGGCACGTTTCATGCTGGAGTCCTGGCTGGCTCCTGCAGGTCTGAGCTCTCTGCTCCAGGGCAGGCACCTGAGCAAGTCCTGGCAGGTTCCAGGTTTCATCCCCGCCTCCTGCCTGGGGCTGCCCTGGTCACCCCTGAGAGGGAGGGCCGAGGGTAGGGGGGGCAGGAGAGGTAAACAAAAGATCCTCCCCAGCTCTTGTGACTCAGGGAGGGTAGTCCAGGTCCTGGAGTCCACTTTGACCCCAGGGTGTGAGGGCAGGGGAACCCAGGTGCAGGGTCCTACTGCCGTGGCCACAAGAGTCACAATACTCCCTCCATGACACAGCTCTCAGGTTTAGAACAATTTTGAAGTAATTGGCAGAAGCTAGGGTAGGCAGCAGGAGCTACCTGTTAGCCTGCTCTTTGCAAGGTCTGAAATCTTTGGATGCTGCCTCTCTAGGAATACACAGCTCTCCTCCCTTAGGCTGAAGCCTTGCCCAGCTCTAGGGGGTCAAGAGAGGACAAGGGAAGGTAAAGAGTGAAGGGCAGGCAGGGAACAAGTAGCTGTCAAGTCCCTGTATGGGACGTTTCTTTACCTGGGTTATGCCATTTAATCTTCCCAGAGATTCTGCCTGTTTTACAAATGAAGAATCCAAGGCTCAGAAAGGTCACCAGGAAGTTACAGACCTGGGACTGAGAATCAGGGCTGCCTTTCTTCATTCTCTTCCTGGTTAGAAAACAGCCATGAACTTGCATTCTCACAGATGGTGGGTTGGAGCTGAGCATGGCCATCTAGGAAAAGGATAGGGGAGTCTGGACATGGACTGGACTCTATGCACTCAGGGCTCACTGTCTCCTGGGGGGACAGACAGGTGACCCACAAATAATGATCCACTGTGACAAGTGCCAGTGCAGTGAAGAAACTGAAAAAGCCCAGAGCAGCAATAGAGGATGGAGTGATTAATTTTGTCTTGAGGTTCATGTCCCACCTGCGGTACCAAAAAAAATAATAATTTGCCTTGAGGGTGGGAGAAGGGGCCTTGCAGACAGTGGGGGCTTTTGATGGATTGTCCCAACAACCAGACTTTACAGATGAGGACACAGAGGCAGTCCCCAGAGCGAGGCAGATGGTTGAGCCTGAAGACGTCGCAGGACTAGTCTTGAAGCTGGGACTCCAACTCTCAGGCAGAGGAGAGTGGGGACAGAATGCACGAGCTAGAAGGCTCCTTCTGGGGCAAAGCAGGGGAAAGCTGGGTGGTAGGGAACCCAGGCAGGCTGTTGCAATAGTCAAGAAGAAAGGTGATGAGGCCAGAGGTGGTGGCCAGAGAGACGGGGGAAATTCCTACTCACCGTGGGTGGCTCCAGGATTTCAGTCCTGGCCACTCACAAACAGCTTGGATGCATGTACTATGCAGAACAGGAAAACAGACCCATGACAATGAGCATGCATGCTGGACATGGGCAGCACACCGCCCTCCCAGCCACTTCAAGAAAGGCTCCATGCCAAGCACTTTGTCCTTCTGACAAACTTTCCCTGTACAGAGAAGGGAGAAGGACCAACTAACATTTACAGACACCTACCATGTGCTGGGTGCTTTATGGATGCTAGTTCACTTCATCCTCCCATCCAAATTGTGTTCCCCTTTTGGAGATGAGGAAACAGGCTCAGAGAGAGAAATTGAATTGTCCGAGGTCAGCCGATTCAGGAAGTGGGTGCATCCAGGGAGCTTGGTTTCACTTCCCCTGGCTCGGGGCCCTAAGTGCCTCGCCCCTTGGCATCTGGGCAGCATGGCTTCCATGCCAACTCCTCACGAATGTCAAGTCTGGGGGCAAGCAGCCCCAGGCAGGGGTGCCCTGAAAGCCCAGGAGGGTGAGTAGAATTCACTGAATACAAGCTCCACCCCTGCAGGAGGCTGCCTCTCCAGGGCTGTTCAGGCAAGTGTGGGGACAAAGGAAAGAGGCCTGGCTTCCTGCTGACTTCGGACTCCCACCTCTGTGTAGCCCCCCTTCTTTTCTCAAAGGCCTCAGAAAGGCAGATGGAAGTCTAAGGCCAAGAGGACAAGGGTGAGAACACGAGGTAGCCTGCATGGTGAGAAGGAGTGAGGTTGGACAGAGACCTGTTGTAGTCCATTTCTGTTGCTCATAACAAAATACTTGGAACTGGGTACTTTATAAAGAAAACAAAATTTATTGCTTACAGTTTCAGAGGCTGGGAAGTCCACAGTCCAGGGAACAAATCTGGTGAGGGTCTTGGTGGTGACAGTGACCCAGGGATCTCACATGGCGGAAAATGGCAGAGCAGAGAGAGACTAACCTCTTCATTCACTCTCCTTTTAAAGCCCTCCAAACCACGCTGTGCCCACCATTTTTAATCCATTTACTTTGGCATGGCCCTATAATCTAATCACCTCTTCAAGGCCCCACCTTTCAATTACCATAATAGTATTTTCCACCCTCATAACACTCTCTCCCCTGGGGCAGCTGGTCCCCTCGGCCTTGCCCTCCCAATCCAGGCAACCAGGGAGACCTCAAAGGGCTCTAAGAAACCAGGTAGGAAGGAGTATCTGCCAGGCCAGCTCCCTAACCTCTGGAAGGGAGGGTGCTCTTTGCAGCCTGGAGCCCACAGCCTGCGCAGAAGGTGGGGACACATAGCCTGGTGTAGGTCAAGGGGCTGGAGGCCTGAGCTTTGTTTCCTTGAATGACATCTTACTAGAAGGGTGTAGCCAGGCTGCAGTCTACCCCTGTCCTAGCCCACTCAGCTCTACATCCCAGCCTCCCACCTGCAGCTGCTCTTCTCTGGGTGTTCAGTCACTTTCTCAGTGTTCCATTCAGTCAGAACCTTCCCAGGAAAAGAAGGAAGGCAGGCTTGTGGCTCCTGAATCTGAATTTCATCAAAACTTATCATTGACCCCCCCCCCTTATGCAATTTCATGCCAAGTCAATTCCGCTTTCAAACCATATCATGAATGACCCCCATCTTGTCTTCCCCCAACTGTCCCTGCCCTCCTTGACCTCATTTCTTTCCCTGAGATGCCTATAACCCAGTCTCCCTCCCTCAACACCTCAGAGGACCCCATAACCTGTTCCAAGAGGCTTTTCTGGGTCTGCTGCAATGTGTCACCTTTGATTCTTCTCTCCCACTACTTCTCCCACCCCCAGGGTTTCGGTCTCACTAGTAAGCTTGTCTTTACCTAAACACACCCTGCCTTCTCCAGCCCTTGGCTTTGACTCCATGTGAAGCACCCTCCTCAGTGGAAATACTGCACAAGTACCATCCTTCAAGTACCATCTCAAAAGCCACTTCTTCAGTAAAGGCTTTCCTCAGGTCCCCAAAAAGGTCCAATTTGTCCTTGCTCTGAAACTTTATCTGTCCTAATGAATGAACTTTACCAGACTGGGGGCTCCTCAAATGCTGAGACCCAGAGTAGCTATTAATGCGTTTTCCTAAATAGTTAAAAGAGTTGTGAGTTCCAAATAAGTGCCTTGTGCTAACTTAAGATAGAGGAACTTTGGTCAAGGGAATTTGCGTCATGAACTTGGCAGGCCTAAGCAGGATATATCCAATTGATGTGAGAGCCCTAAGCCTTAACTAATCACACCTTTTTGAGATACTACCTTCTGGACTTGGGAGGACTTGACTGCAACTCTTGAATAAGGACACATCAATCACAACAGACCTCGGACACTACATCACTGAACAGCCAGAAGAGTACTTAAACAGCAGCATGACTGACTTACTTCACTGCATCTGTCAGCTGTGGCAGGTTGCTGGCCAGTTGGTTGGATCCTTGGTCCAGTGCAGGGGAACAGATTGTAATTGACATTTCTTGGTGTGGGCTACTCTCACACAGAGGTGGAAGCCAGTCTTGTTGAAGCCCACAGGACCTTTAGCCCATGAGAGTAAGGACCCTTGAGCGTTGCCTCTGCCGCACTGAGGAGGGACCCAGATGTATGCTGCTTTCAAGCCATGTAATTGCACTCCATCAGAGGTATCCAGATCCTGGTGGCTGTGAGCAAGAAAAGAACTTTGTGCTGGACATGTAAGATTTCTGACTTGTTCCTAACAGGATAAAGAATAGGCGTTGTGTACAGTATGCCCTTAAGGGATCATTTAGTTTAGGTTAGAAGTAGGCTAAGACATAGAGTAAATAAAAGTGAAAGTGTGTTATATGTGACATGTTTTGATCAATAAACCATGTGATTCGAGCATCCAACATCTTGGTCTCGAGAGGTCCTTGCCTACCAATAAAGATCTGCGTGCAACACAAGTCCTCTGAAGTCTGACACTTTCATTGTTAGGAAATTGGTAAGAATAGCATAGAAGGCAAGGGGTTGCAAACTAGTGGCCCATGAGCCAAATTTGGTCCATAGATGACGTGATTTTTTTTAACTGAGGTAAAATTTGCATAACTTAAAATTAGCCATTTTAAAGCTTACAATTCAATAGCATTTAGTACACTCAATGTTGTGCAACCACCATCTCTATCTGGTTCCAAAACATTTTCCTTATCCCAAAAGGAAATTCCATACCCATCAAGCAATCACTCCTCATTTCTCCCTCCCCACAGCCTCTGGCACTAATCTGCTTTCTGTTTGAACGGATTTACCTATTTTCATACACGTGGAACCATATCACTTGTGGCATTTGTGTCTGGTTTCTTTCACATAGCATAATAGAGGTTCATCTACATTGGAGCATGTATTAGCACTTCATTCCTTTTTATGGCTGAATAATATTCCATTGTGTGGATATACCCCATTTTGTTTATCCGTTCATTAGTCTTGGACAATGTCAGCTGTTTGCATTTTTTGGCTATTGTGAACAGTACCGCTGCGAACACTGATATATAAGTACTTGTTTGAGTACGTTTTCAGTCCTTTTGAGTACATACCTAGGAGTGGCATTGCTGGGTCATATGGTAACTCTTTAACTTTTTGAAGAAGAAACTTTAACTTTCTGAGTTTGAATGCCTTTGGGTGTCCACCTCTGCCTGTTTTCATCTCTTCCTATTGTCTGACATCCAGCCCGTTGACTCATTTACATTATTTGTCTGGCCCCGAAGGCATCTTAATTTGCTACCCCTAGAAGGCTCTGAAGGCGAAAAAACAAAAAACTAAAGCAAAACAAAACCCCCCCAACAAAACCTTAGTGCGCAATTCAGTCTCTAACTAGGCAGAGACCTCAGGTAAATCTCTTCACCTCTCAGAGTACTGCTTTGGCTCAGCATCAAAAGGGGAAAATAATGCTTACCTGACAGGAGGCGGCGAGGATCCGGGAGGCGAAGGACCAAACGCGCCTCTCTTCAGAAGCTGTTTAGTTCTGGAAACAGACAGGCGGGCGAGGCCCGGAGGAGGAGCAGGAGGAGCGGGCGGGCTGTGCGCCCTCTGGGGCCCTCGGTCGCGCTCGGGGCTGCGGCCGCGCCGGGGTCCGAGCCAGTGCGCACAGGGCTG